AATAACAGAATGGATCAACTTTAGTCTCTGCAAGAAATAAATCCCTAAATTGCAAACAACATCAACGCAGTATGGTAACGTCTTGAGAGCAGTATTTAGCCATTTCCATTTGGAAATTGAAGACAAAGTTATTTTTCTTTCGTTCTTCACGCCACGCAACATTTAGTGCGATCTTTTTGGAACTTTGAATCAGGACTTTTGAATCAGGTATCAGGCCAACATAATTTTGATTTTCTTTTGTATTAAACAAAAACGGAAAGTCACCTTTGGAAAATTTTGTTTCATCGATTCCAAATGTTTTAGGAAATTTAGCTAAAGGCATTTGCAAAAAGTTCAGCGAGTCAATTAAACGGATTTGATAATCTTTCACTGTCAGTTGCTTAATTTTCTGTCCCGAAACATGTATATCAGCAGTCGGTCTGTATTCAATTAACCATCTCTGAATGAAAACACCGTCAAATGCCTTAGCATTATGGGCAATTGCTGTAAAACTTTTATGTTCTCGTAAAAATAAGAAGGAATAAAACTCGTTCAATGCGTTGTAACCCTTGAAAACAAATTTTGTACCGTCTAAATAATGTGCAACAGCAAAATTAACCACATGCTCTAGGGTTAAAAAATCTGTTTCAAAATCGTAAAATATTAGACTATCATTCTTGGGTTTTGAGTTTTCCGTTTGCATGAAACATAAATGATCATCAAGTACAAACTTATTGCATACATGACATACAGTTTACTCACAGCGATGTTCGTTTTGTCTGTCTTTGTCAACTATAGATGAACACATTTGACATCGAAACGACTTGTCACACATTGATGGCAAGTCAACCCTTTGGACCGACGCGATTTTTATGACGATTAAAACATGCAGTAGAGCGACAAATCTTGAAACAATCCGAACACATATGTTTTCATCTGAAATCTCAACGCAGTCTTTTTGTCTGCACGTTTTACAGACATTATAACAAGGGTGATTTAAACCATTTTTGAAGAACTGAAAGCATTTGTCACAGTAGAAACGTTCACCGTGGAAAGCCGGAAGTTTCGCAGGGTTAATAACATTGTAATGATCACCTTGTTTGTATAAAATAAGCTTTTATTTTTGGGGCCCTCAAAATGACTGTATTTCGAGCATTAAAATCAATAACCTGAATTTGATAATCTAATAGAACCCTTGAAACTTCGACAACTCCGTAGTCCACAAGGTCCATAGGAAATATTGGCCTTCTTGTATAATTTCAAAGCTTCTCGCTTCTGAATAGCTTTACCCTGCTTAAATTGTTTGAGTTTTGGATTCTTGTCCGCTATGGCCTTTGCAACAACAAGAGCGCGAGCACAGCAGAAATTATCCTTATTTCGTATAGTAATAATTGGCTTTTTAACTAGGCTGTCTTTGCTATAATCTAAGACTTTTAATGAAGTAGAATGTTTTTTACCGGACCCTGTCGGCAGTCTTACAGCAACAACATCAGCAGTAAACGACTGATCCAAAGGGATGTTTTCATTACTCTGCAAAACTTTCGTTATTTCGGACATCACCCGGTTTGAAGTCATTTGAATTGCAGGCAACAGTTGCGTGCTTATGGGGGACTTGAGTTCACTCGAGCGGATCATGATTCGCATTCTGTCTTCTAGAGGTGTGACTAAATCACACGCCTTATTTACCTGCGTGAAAAAAAAGTACATTTTCCTGATTTAAGCTATGTGAGGGAAAAGCATGAAAATAGAGAAGTATTTTCTTTTACCTGATCAATTGTATTGGCAAAAAGTTCGTTTAATTCATTAACAATATCTTTAATCTTGTACACTTTATCATCTCTAGGTCTTTCTATCGTAGCCCTGAAAACACACGCTGATGCACCAAACTTTTTTACGTATTTTCGGATATCTTCTCCATATTGAAGTGTATTGTGTCTTTGGAGACATCAGCCAAACGGTCATCTATTTTTTCAGCAGCTTGAACTTTTGTTCTAGTATCTTGGCAGTTTTCTTTTGCCGATGTAAGACTTTGTGTAAGTCCAATTTTGGCTTAGCCAATTCTTTCTCGATTTTTCCTTTACGACGTTTTGCTTCGCATTTTTACGCTCAGCACGTTTCTTCAAACGCAGGTCATATGAATCCATATCAAAACAAATTAAGAAACTATTGATCACTCTTGTTAAAGCTAACCTGATTTAAAATAGAACCAACCTAGCCCTTTTCTTATAGTACTTTGCTCCCTACAGAGATCGTCATTGCGCATGTCATGATGTAATAAGCAAAAAATAGTTTTGAAATTTAAATTCATACATAGATTATATTGTAAACACATCAAGATTATATGGAATTTAAAGTTTTAAACTTTGTAAATTATGTCTTTGGACATCAGTTTTCTTCATAATCGGATGAATTTTCCACAATTATTTTGGAGCGCTTTGATTCTTCAGCTTTTGGTACCTTAGTGCTCGACTCTCTTTTGGGCGCTGATGGTTTTTTAGTTTTTCCAATGCCTTTCATCGGTTCGTCAGCCCAATGAAAGAATGAACATTTCTTTTCACTTGCCATATTTTTGCAACGAAAGTAGGGTCGGCCAGGATTGTTGGCCGAGTTCGATACGCACAGACATGCAAACACTTGGCACTCGCAGAGTGGAAAACGGTTCGGCTTGAATTCCTTCAGCACATTCTTATCGTACACGTCTAAAAGCTGCAAGTACTTTTCTTCGGGCGTGAATAAATTACATTTTTCTTTCGCGCACTTTAGGAAGACGCGGCCCTCGTTGGAAGTAAAACGTTTCAGACCGCCGTTTTTGCAAAAGCATCTGTGCTTCTCAATAGAAACCATTTTCTTCCTTGGTTATTTTTTTCTATCTCTGGCTACAAAACGTTTGTAGAATTAATGCATATGATCTGCAGCAGTGCTTGAGTTTTTATAATGTCACAATGACTCCATTTTTTTGTCGGCATTTTTTCAATTATTTGATTAAGGCTTCTTTTAATCATATTTCCGTCAAAATTTTTTTTCCCATGAAAATACCAAAATAGTAATCCTACAGTTTCATAAATATGTGGACTCTAGCTGTGCTAGCCGGTAATAATTAACTCAAGGATTAAGTTTTGTCTACATTTTTAAATTGTTTGACTAAGGCTTCTTTTAATCATATTTCCGTCAAAATTTTTTCCCATGAAAATACCAAAATAGTAATCCTACAGTTTCATAAATATGTGGACTCTAGCTGTGCTAGCCGGTTATAATTACCTCAAGGATTAAGTTTTGTCTACATTTTTTTAAATTGTTTGACTAAGGCTTCTTTTAATCATATTTCCGTCAAATTTCTTCTCCACACGAATGATGAAAAATTTCTTCTTGCTTGTTTTCATAGTATAATGACAAGTTAAAAATTGCAGAGATAATAATTGTTAAGACTCATAGCTATAATTTTTAGGACAGTTATGATACATAATATTTTTTCCAAACCAAAACTGACAATGACCTTGCATGTTATTTCACAATCTTAATTGGCGGTGTTTGAAATACATTAGGCCTGCAGACATACGAGTTAATTTACTGTTTTAATACTTTAATGCCTTCATTCAATCTGAAACGCACGCATGCCAAAGAAATAATCGATCCATTGGAAAATTACTGCTAACAAAAGAGCCTATGTCAATAATGTGCATGTAAAAGCACTCACAAAGTCTCAGGCAAGTAAACGGCGAAGGCATCAGCAAAGAAAACCAACAGCTAGAATGGCTACACAAAACACCATTAGACCGATTTTAAGTAAGTTGAATTGGAATACAATTTCAATGTTACATATGACTTTAGAAAATTTAAGTTGCGATTTTGTTCATTGTTTTAGGCCAGTGTGAACACTGCCACCTATGGGTGATCTGTCCACCGAGCTGTGGGCATAAAGTACATCTATCTTTGGTTGAAGAGAGGCTAGTAGAATGCTTGCCATTCAAATGTCCATATGCTTAAAGTCAAATAATTGATATGCTTGCTAAATGTTGTAGTCGTTTTTTTTATGTAATGTCCATTTCTTTATACTGTAGTTGTTTTGACGAAAAAGTAGATCGCTTCTTAGAAGATTTTTTGAGTATGTATTTTTATAACTCTTTATCTTTTGAACATTGATACAGTAGAACAGTCAGTAAGATTGATTTCTTTTCATTTCAGAGTGGTCATTGCTAGTTTCTTTCAATAAAATTTTTTATTTCAATAAAATGTATTTAAGAATATCAACGTCTCATGTTCTAATTTGTTCTTTTTTTCTGTCAAAAATATTTTTCTCCAATCATTACAAGTGTACTTGATAAGTTCTAGCCCATTTACTATCGGAGTCATGTCTTGTAAACTATCAAAGAAGGATTTCATGACTTCTTCCTCATCAATTTTTGATACTGCATCTTCAAAGTAAATCGCTACCCTTTCATCATTAGGCATCTTCAAGCATTCATGGGGCTTTTGTGAGGGGTGTTGAACGCGACAACCGTCACAGTCTTTTGCCACAAGTTCATATATTTTAAAACCAATTTCAGTAGCATAGCACTTTAACAATTTATTCTGTATATTGCTTTGGCGTTCATCTAAAACATGGCTCTCATCTTCAAATTCGAAGGACGATTCCTTCACTTTCTTTGCTTGCTCAATGTCTACTTTTAAAGCCATTTTCGTTTTAGTAAGACAAAAATTACCAAATAACTTTAACTCAATAAAATTGTAACGTGTTCTCCTTTTTAATATTTGCAAAAGAAACAAGAAAGCGGATCTAATATTGCTTTAAAATAGAAAACAATTGGCAATTTTAATTAAGTTTTATCGTGTTTCAATTAATCATGTCATCCAATAGCAACCTTCGTTCATTTTATGTCGTTTCCGGTTTACACGCGCGCGCCCTGTTTACTTCCTAGGACTGGAAACTAATTGACACGGGTAAGAGCTCCGTTTACTTCCGGGACCATACCTGCACCATAACTACTGTCAATGATTATGTATTCTATGGATTTTTTAGACAAGCATTTTTAAAGCTTCTAAGCTAAGAATATCGACTTTTGTGTAGCGTCAATTGTGTTTCACATGCTATTCACGTGTATTGCATACTTGAAACATTGTTTGTATGGAAAACAACATAACATAAAACCAACCAACTGTGAAATCATATGACGTGTAAGAAACTCATCTGATATATAGACAAACCTATCTACAGGATATTGTAAATCAGATCACATTAACTTTTAATAAATATGTCTTCGTTTATCTCTACCATATTAAAATCGACTGTTGGTGTAATATGTAACAAAATACGAGATAAAACAGCAGAAAATCTTAAAGACGGTGATGTTACGGATGCGAAGCTTCGAGAATTTGTTGTGGGAGATTTGAATGATATTAAAACTAAACTAGACGGACTGTCACGAAAAGATCTTCTCAGCAGTTATGATTTCTTCAAACAAGGAATTCACCTTTTACTTGATTGTATCGAGAACTCCGCACAACTAAAAGAGGGACAACAGGTAAGATTGAGAAATTTAACTCAAGGAAGTCAAATTGACGCGTCGTTGATTTCTAGCAACCAAAGCAGTGAAAGATCTAAAGAATTCGATGAAAAGCACAAACTTGAAGAAGCTTTTAAGACATTAAGTATTGAATGCCCCTTTAAATTAAAAACCGCTGTCGTAAGATTTCGAGACGCTAGCAAAGGAGCAACCCGTGCATTCAATAACATAAGTTTGTCAATTGAAGATAGAATCTTTGCTGCCAAAATTCGAGTTGTTTCAACAATTTTGGAATGCATGGAATGTCCAGAAACGGCCATTACATTGTGTTTTCCCTTTTTAAATGAACTTCATTCATTACCTGCTATTCGTGAGATATTTAATGTTTACATCAATGGTGGGGTGAAGTCATTGTTAAATAAAAACGATCGTGTAGAAAATGTACGATCAGTGATGTTTATTAACCGCTTGTTGTATCAGTTTAATATGAAGTTTGGGAAAACCTATCATATGGCTTTAGATTGGCCGACCATTCAATTAAAAAACAAACAATTTAATCCAATATTGAACTGGCGTGAAATCTCGAAGAGAAATTCTTGGGACAGTAAGGTTCCAGGTCCTAATGAATTGGAATTAAAATGGGATATCGAAATACGACATCTTCATTGCAATAGTAGCTATGACTTCATTTATTGTGATCTAGAGAGAAATTTACTCAATATTATGAGAAAAGATGCTGATGATGAAGTCGTCTATAAATTTCCTTTATCTGACGTCATAGAGGCCAGCTTTATAGATAAAAATGATGACATGTACATCATTGTCCAACGAGAAACGTCCTCTAACTTTCATCTAGTGGTGTTGGATCCTTATTTACTTGTTAAAAGTGAAATATCCTTGGATCTTACTTACGAAGACTTTTGTAGATTTCATTTATTCGTGCCAGCAGAAAACATTGTGGTTTATGATGAACTCAACAAATGTGTGTTTGTTTGTGACTTACAAGGAAAATTGATAAAGCAGTTTACAGTTGAACTAATAGGAAATCGTATGCAACGAATAGTCGTTACCAATGAGAACGAAATCATTTTAGGTGACTGTCTTTCTTTGTACATTTATTCAATGGAAGGTTGTTTGAAGTCGAAAGTGAATTTGCATATACATTTTTTTATAGATTTTTTCTATCACTTTGGTCTGAAAAAATTTCTCATAATTGAATATTGTGGTGATAATTCCCGTATTCACAGTTGTGATCATTCAGGAAAACTTGAAACATTGACTGATCTTAAAGACATTTCTAATGAAGGGTTCTTATCCTCAAGTTCAGTTCCAGTTGTAAGTTGTTCTTCACGTCGTACGTCCTCAGTTTACCTTATGTGGTGTTAAAACCACTTGAAACTACTAAACCATTTTTCATGTTTGTAATCAATCGTCTTTTAGTGTGATCTCCCTCCTCCCGTTTTTGTAGAGCAGTGTTTGTAAAAACACTCTATTTATATTACATTTTTTATTTTATAACAATTGTCGTACTTTATGTAAGATTTCATATTGAAATGTTAATTTCTCGTAATATTTGCTAATAAATCCTCAATATCTTTATGTAAAAAAGAAAAAACTCAAAAAAGTAGCTACAATAAAAGATGAGCAATTATAGACTACATCTTGGAAAATTAAGTTATCGCTAAGTTAAGCAATAATTTTTAAGTTTAAATGAATTATACATTGTAATTTACAAAATGCTGTACGCACTTAGTTAAATGTATGATAAAAAGATTTATGTGTATTTTATACAATGAATATTTAATACGTCAATGACAGGGCAACTAACTACTAAAGTCCGTTCACACCATCCGATTTGTCGGATCCGACTTTTTCGGATCCTAAAAAACGAATCGTCTTAACATATATAAAAAGTGAGCTTCTGATAGTCGGATCCGTCTATCAAAAAAATCGGATGGAAATAGAACTTGCTCTATTTTCATCCGACAAGATCAAAGGAAGCCGACAAGTGAAATTACATTGATTTGAAAAAGACTTGGAAAGAAGAACAAAAATACGAAAAATATATCGATAAATGTACTGGATAGCACAAATGGCTGCTCACACGACTTTAAATATCTAAACGAATTATAAATATTAACAAAATTATCGGACCGTCTGAACAAACAATCAAAAGACGGATCCGACAAATTGGAACATGTGAACGGGCCTTAAGGGCTCCAACTGGTTGGGATCCCATGCAGAGCCCTCTATAGTATAAGAGTTGGGACAAACGGTCTGGGGCGAGCGCGGAGCCGCCATTTTGGTTCCTACTTGCAAAGTGAAACTATAATAATACTATTGGAAATTGGGTTTATATGCAAAAGAAGAAAGCAATTTAAGCGTATTCCATGGTAGTATCAAATATATTAGGAATAATAGCAAGCTCTTTGCGTTTTTTAACGATTTGCGGCAGACCTGATTTAATTTCATTGGTTTGAGCTTCGTTTGCGGTTTACTAGTTCGTGCTTCAAATTGATCGTGACCCATTGTAAGAAGTATTTTTCGTACGTGAACGTGTTTTCTCGGCTTATGTTCCGACTCTGTAAGAAGTTTTCAAGATCTTTAAGCTTGGTGGCAAGCGGCAATGTTATCCTGGCATCAGTGTTATCAAATACTTGGACAAGACTTTGTTCGAAACTTCGAATCATAGTAATCATGCAGTTTTGATCCGGATAGATTTGTGTTCAAGATTTGTAACAATTTAATGGTAGTGAGTGGTTTATGCCCCCCAATTTGATCCAAACATGACATTTTTTATTCTGAAAGATCACAAAATTTTCTTGCTCAGCAGAAAATGACAAACTTTACTTTTTAGTTATTGAAATATGCAATGATTTGACCAAGATGCATTTGGCCTTAAACGTTTTATTCCTTTATATGAAGTTATTTCGCCTTTATCACTTTATAAAGTATTAAAGTTTATTTCTAATAAAGTTTGTTAGGGATTCTGCTGAAAATTTTGGTGAAGCATTTCTTTAAAATGAATATATTATTTCTATAATATGAAACATTTCTGTTGTTGAAGAACAGTCTGTTTGCTATAAATGCTACTGTTTGTAGTCTTTTATACAGCATATGAGTCTGATCCAATCTTTAATTTAGCAAAGAGTTAAATTTATTGGTGAGGAATGACAAAACTTCTATATGTGTTTAATGATCAAACAGGGGTGTGTTGGAGGGAGCTCAGCCCCGTTTGTTCAAATTCTATGCCTTGTATTGCCAGTGAAATATATATATATCAAAAAGCTAGCAGCACCTAAATATATATCAGAAAGCCAGCAATATTTTAATATATATGAGAAAGGCAGCAACAGTTGTAATATACATTAAAAAGCCCAAATAGCTGAAATTATGGAGATATGCCTCTGATCTTATAAACCAAAGCCTACAATTAAAATATCATCGACAAGTCTAGAAGAGAAGTAATGTTCTACTTTGAGCTACAGAAGTAGGGTACATTTGTACAATTCATTACCAAAAATATATTGTTTGTTGAACAAAAATATATTGTTGTACAGCTGTTTCAGTGAATATCCTAATTATAATTACTTCATTTTTAAATGATGAACTAAAAATACAAAATACAACATGGAAAATCATAAGAGTTTCTGTGATTTGGTGTAGTTGTTTTAGTGTGGAAGTGGCTGAGAATTGAGAGGTTTGTAGATTGACAATTTCAGAACATAATGAGTAATCATCTTCGATTAAAAAACAAGCTTTGGAGTAAGAAAACTATTGAAACTGCATCAGCACGAACTTTTCAATGTTATTTGGCCCAAAAATGTTTCTCTACTTGAGTCAGTTGATTGAACCTTATATCAAAAGCAGTTCAGCACAACAATCACCATACGCAATCAAATTTCGTAAGTTCGACGAAAAGGCATTTCTTTAATTTTTTTCATAATCCTCGATTCTTGCGATATGTAATGACATTTAGTAGCCTTCAACAATCAGTTATTACACACTTATCCATAAAAAAACGCAATATTATCTCAAAATACTGTATTACTAGCAAGCAATTGCTATGTAAACACTAGCTGAAATTTCAAAACTAGGAACCAAAATGGCGGAAATTGATCAGGTGATCAATATTGCCCAATCAACGTAAGCTAAACGGATAACAATAGATGTCCCAACTCTTACTAATAGAGGGCTCTGGTTTCACTCACAGGGAAGGCACACTCGGACATCTAGCAAAAGTAGGCGCATTCGGAAACTTCTTACGAAGATGATTTCCGACACCCGAGGTTTATTTTTCGTATTGCGTGGATTCTGCGTGATAAATTTGCGTGTAAAGCCTTAATTCGCGGCAATTTAAAACTTATCTACGGTGGCCCACAGCGGCAATGCGGATATATAAGTAAGGAATAGAAATCAAAGTATTTTGCATGAAATGTTTTTATTATTCATGATATATATCAGTGGAGCAGTAAATATATATTCATGGAGCAGATATATTTATAAAGTACGCAGATATATATTTCAGTACGCAGATATATATTTTCAGTACGCAGATATATAATTTCAGTGCACAGATATATAATTTCAGTACACAGCGTAGATATATATTATCAGTGCGCAGATATATATTTTCAGTGCACAGATATATATTTGTAGTGCGCAGATATATATCAGATTTTCAGTGCGGATATATATTTATGGCAAGCAGACAAGCAGAAAACATTAAACAAAATGGAAACATTAAACAAAATGAAAACATTAAACATTTAACTATGCTCTTATATTCGAATACTCTAGTAAAATAATATTCAATCAGAGATCGCTTGTTTTCTACATTGTTTGTAGCAGAATCATGCGAAGGAATGTCAACCATATTGGCAATATTTTGTAACTTTAATGCAAATTTTCTCGCAGTTTCTCTTTTGTTGCTGAAACGTTTCTATATTTTTTGTATATATTCACAGTTCACACTATAAATATATGTTTGCGGAGTAAAAATATGTGTCTGCTTGTCTGCTTGCCATAAATATATATCCGCACTGAAAATCTGATATATATCTGCGCACTACAAATATATATCTGTGCACTGAAATTATATATCTGCGTACTGAAAATATATATCTGCGTACTGAAAATATATATCTGCGTACTTTATAAATATATCTGCTCCATGAATATATATTTACTGCTCCACTAATATATATCATGAATAATAAAACATTTCATGCAAAGTACTTTGATTTCTATTCCTAACTTATATATCCGCATTGCCGCTGTGGGCCACCGTACTTATCGCGGGAAAATGGAAATAATTTAAAATAGTAAACAGTCTCTGCATATTGTACATCACCACACAATACGAACGAAGTTAAATTTCTGTTTATGTTTCCGCTGGTAAACTGTTCTTATAAGAACAAGCACATATTTTTATACATATGGAAAGTATTGACATTTCAGCAGCGACTTCTTTATTTAAAATCAAACTGTCTGAACGCTCTGGACTTGTGCAAAATGTAGAGGAAGCAGAATGTCTCCTTAGAGAGTACGAGTTGGCAAGCACAACTAATTTTTGTGGAAATAAAGCAAAAAAAGGATTTGGGAACACAGGTTTGTATTTTTTTTCTCAAAATATAACTAATCTATATTAATCTATACGCTTTCCTTATTTCTGTTGTCCAGATCAAATTGTTATATGAAACCTGAATGTTGTCATATTCTTTAATATAAGAAGTACTATAATGTCCATGCACATTTGAGTCTTACTATCCTCAGTCTGTCGTTGTGTGTCAAACGAGAAAGGAATAGGGAAACTACACTCATCGCAAAAAAGGTGAAAACCAACTCATAGGTAGTACTTTAGTCTAAAAAAGGGCAAGAGGCAAAGCACAGTTTTTTGTTAAAAAGGGTTTCGTTTAATGTGTACAGAATACAACCACGTAAATCACACAGTAATGTTGAATATAATGGTTCAATTTGAACTAAATGAAATCACTTATTCTATTTTTAATCGAAAAAATGTTAGATCTCACAAGTGCCAATCACAAGGTTTGGTGGGAAGATGGCCAGCTTCCATTTGACCATATACCGTTCGTTCAAGTGAACCATAGGGTCTACGATTGTCGTCATGGGGTAGATAGGCATTCAAGCCAAAAGAAGAAAAACAGAACGGTAATAGATATTATTCATCTGCTAATGCAATACTACAGATTTAATAAAAGTAAATAAAAGTGAAACGACGTTGCTAACCTTATAGTACGTTGCAATTAAACTTCCAGTGTGAAGAGCTTTGAAGGAAACTTTGAGTTTTATTGTATTTTAACATTGTCATGTAATCTTGGTTTCTTTCTTCTTCATGAATTTCTTCAGCTACCTTTCCTTTTAGGTGTAATTATTTATATATTTTAGTCAAATTCTAGCGACCACTCGTTTAAGAAGCACAGAAACATGGTTCAAGGAACAAGAAAATTGAACTGTTCAGCACAAGTTCACATGAGAGAATACATCAGATTTCCAGACTTTAGGGTAATTTTAAATAACAGTGATTATTCGTATGCATTACTCGATCTGTCAGGTGTAAACAACAAAAATGTCTCGAGGTGTCCAAATCAATTTGCCTTGAAACTTTACTCACACAGGTTTTTTGATAAATTTACGCGCCTTTAGATTAAAGAGCAAACGGTTTGGCGACAAAAATCGATGTCGAAAAAACTTAGGGAATGCTTACAAAAAGGTGGAAATGCCAATGGAGAAAGGTGGATCCATATCCAGTTGCCTTGCCTATCTGAGCACAAAACTCACCCTATAGGAAGCGTAAGGATATATTTAGTCCTAGTTTTTGTACGGTGCAAGTCAATGTCTTGCTATATTGTTTTTAAACCTTACGTTTTATAATCGGCTCCTTTATATGTAGGCTGGAGGTTTTCATCAAGGAATTGATAAGATGCTTGTCTCCAAGATCCAAGAATTGGTTGTTGCTGGGGCTTGCTCAGTTAAAGAAGTTAGGAGGCATCTTAAAATCTACGTGGAGCAAGACCTGTACAAAGCAACAAAGGCACCCGCTAAAACCAATCGGAGATTTTATCCTTCCAAACAAACTATACGCAGCCACATTTACAAGGCAGTCATCAAAGAAAGATTTTCAAAATTTGACCAAGAAAATCTTCTAAAGAAAATCGAAGACTGGAAACTGAGGTGTCCCGACGAGTCTTTCTTCTTTCGCCCGCTTGCTAAATATTCAGCAGAGTCTTTGATTACTCAAGAAAATAGTGTTGATAACGAAGAAGACGACGATGACGATGATGATGACAACACAGTTTTGCCAGAGTCAAAAAATGGATTGTTATTCATTCACCAGACTGTTAATCAGAAACGTCTTCTAAAGAGATATTATAACGAACTTACCCTTCTAGATGCCACTTACAAAACGACAAAATACAGCCTCGCTTTGTTTTTTCTTGTTTTTTCTTGTTGGTTCTTTTGTCCTGCAAAGTGAAACATCGTACGCTATTTCGGAGGCTCTTCAAGTTATAAGAGGTTGGAACAACGAGTGGAATCCAGCGTATTTTATGGTAGATTACTCTGAAGAGGAAATGTCGGCGATAAACCGAGTATTCCCAGGTTAGTCAAGAAACCTAGAACTAAACTACATTCAAAGGCACACACAATGCTACACACCTCTTTTGTTTTTAATTGAGGCAGAAATATGCAAATTTCTTTTTTTGTGGGGTGGAGTAAAAGATACAATCTAGTCAATACACTTCATGTTAATTGTACGTATATATTACAGAATGTCAGACGTACATCTGCGATTTCCATCGAGAGCAAGCGTAGGAGCGATGGCTTTCAAAAAGCAGCAGCGGACTGCTCCCGTTAAAAAATATGATTCTTGCAAAACTTCGATTAATTGCCAGAGCGAGGACGGAGGCTGATTACGAGGAAAATGTTAAAAATTTTAAGTCATCAGAAGAATGGAAGACAAACCCAAAACTGCGCAACTTGATTAGCAATACATGGTTATCCCAATACAAGGCAAGAGAATTTTATAATTTGCTAATAATATCATTCTTACAGTGCTCATCAATAATTACAATACATGTTGATTCCGTTAATTTTCTCGCGCCGACAAAATTTATAGAAATGGGTGTGGACCTTTCGAAAAGATCGACTGCTAACAGTCATAAACACAAATAATGGCGTGGAAAGGCAAAACAAAGCTTTCAAGCATGAATATTTGGATGGTTACAAGAATTCAACGTTGAGCGTCATGCTGACAGTGCTAATTGAAGACTTTTTGCCCGACCTTTATTTCAAGTACTTTTTTTTATTATTTACTTGAACAAGTCTCTTAGGCGATGGCGAAGCCAGCCCGATCTTTTCCTCCAACAAATCAGATTTCTCAGCAAAATTATTGTTCATTTCTTTAGAAATTCGATGTCATTCATTGTCTTTCCATTGATTAAACACAAAAATATATGATTTGTAGAGGTACAAAAAACGGGCTGGGGAATTCACTGCTGCTGTTAGCGCTAGTATTTTAGCAGCAACAACGTTGGAAATTCTTGTCTAATTTTACAGATACGTCGAATTAAATACGAAATTGCAGAGCAATTACAGGCAGTACAATTCTAATGTCCCGTCATACCTTCACGAAAGACCACACTTTATGATTAGGCATTGTATGGAAAGACTTGCATCGTCAGAAGATACCCTTGCATCACACATCATGGTTGTTGACGAAGTGCATGGAATTTTCAAAGTTCGTAGTCAAGACGACATATGCAAGTTTTATACATTGTCGTTTGGAAGTGATCCAGGTGATCTTCCAAGCTGTGATTGTTATGACTGGGAAAGACACAGGTTGCCATGTAAGCACTTCTTTGCGATTTTCAAGAACTTTCCACTTTGGTCATTTGATAAACTACCGAAGTCGTACACGGAATCTCTATTTTTAACAGTTGATCGAATAGGTTGCACGTCTGTAATGGAAACAAAGCCATTTGAGGTAAGCCAATGTCACTCCGATGATTCTTCACAAACCGTCGAAGCACCAGAGGAAAACGAAATCCACGTAACTAAGGACAAGAACATTTTCCCCACCATTGTAGCTGAGCTAAAACGAAAGCCATCTTCACCTAAAACAGAAGCCGTAAGGTGCAGAGAACGGTTGGGACAAATAAAGAATTTAACTTATGTTGCTGAGGGATGGGGAAATGGCAATGTTTTGCATGAAGTAAAGGTCAAATTGGATGAATGTTAAAAAATACTGACTGATGTTTCTCCAAAGGAAAATGATTTAGTGTTGGAAGTCAAAAATAGCAAGTGTTTAGTAAATCCGTTTAAACCCATCCCAAAACCGGCAAAGAAAAATCCCTGGTCAGGTCGAAGTGGTGCAAAAGCAGCAACTTTAAAAAGAAGTTATTCTTCAACATTAACAGAAATTGAAGGAAAGCAAGCAAAGATTGGACGAAATGATTCAAATATTGTGACAGATGAAATAAACTCTTCCCATTACAGACCTATTGAGCCCTTGAACAAAGAGTCGGGTGATAAATTGGAAAAGATCGTTCAGACCCCAAAGCGTGGATTTTCTAAACTTAGTGACATTGACATGAACATAATCATCACCAGAAAAGAGTTAACAGATCACATCATTGGTGCTGCACATAATGTTTTGCAGAAACAATTTCCTGTCGTACTTGGTTTAGAAAACACAACACTTGGCCCTGTCACCAATTTTTCTGTACATCAGGGTACTTTTTCCAGATTCTCCACACAGGTACTCATCACTGGGTATTGGTTTCAAATATTGACTGTCAGCCTGCTTCAGTCAATTTATATGACAGTTTGTACAATGGAAGAGTCAGTTCTTTAACAAAAAAACAAATTGCCAACCTACTCCATGAGCCATCACCATCAATCACAATCAACATACCACATGTCCAGTATCAATCCAATTACGTTGACTGTGGGGTGTTTGCAATTGCATTTCTTGTGTCATTACTTTTTAACCAAGATCCAACAACTTTGATGTATAATGAAGGTTCCATGCGATCACACTTGTTGAGTTGTCTGAAAAAATATGAGTTCACTCCTTTCCCTTCGACAAAGAAAAGGAACATTGATGACAAGAGTCAAATCCAAAGAAAATTGAAATTTTCACTGATGTGCCACTGTCGAATGCCATGGAACCAGAAAGATCTTGAAAACCCTGACCTATGGTGTACTCAGTGTGACAAATGCTTGGAGTGGTTCCACAAAAAGTGTTCACCAACAATGCCAGATTCAGTTTTCCACAAGACAAATGTCACTTGGAAGTGTCCAAAATGCGTATAATGAATCAAAAGAATAAAATGCTTTAGAGGAAACTGAAAGTTGTTACTATAGAAAGAATTGTTATATTTTGTATTCAATTGTAAGAGTTTCTCGGGATTTTTATTGATTTATTGAGCTTTCGACTTGGTGCTTCGCGCTTATATATATATGTGCATGTACATTCATGTGTGCATGCACACACAAAAAGTAACCACTTTATCAATATTTTAATGTTCAAGGTGACTAATAGCAACTTTCCATTTTTGATATATATACAAATATGTACAAATAGCGACAGCAAAAACTTGTAGATTTTATTTCACAAATATGTAATATATATCTAAGATGGTTATTAGTTTCCTTAGTTACTTAGTTACCTTGAACATTTAAAATGTTACATATATAATGTAAAATGACTATTACTGATTTTCCTTTTATACTACATGAATATGTTGTTAAACAAATTGCCACTGGCACATGCAAAGCATAAAACACAATTGGCAAGATTATATTCTATAAAAAATATGTCAAAAATTTAGTACATAAAGTGATATCAAACCATCGTCTAACAAAAAACCAGGGAAATGGAGAGTAAAATGTCCAAAATTTTCAATGTTATTTTACCTTTCTTGATAAGTTGATTTAGATTTGTTTATACTGTAGAACAAGTGATGGAGAGCTTACATATGTAATACCAGTGGGCAAAATAATTTCAAAATAAATTGTGCTTTAATTTGCTTTATGCTTCCAGGTTTCAACACATTTAAAGTTAAATAAATGTGTAATGGTATAAAATTTTTAAATTCTAAACTGCTATACATTTCCATTTTGTTGATCACAATAATGATTAAGAATCACAGGAGACCATTTGTCTTTGTTTACTTGAATTATGTCGAATAACATGTCAATATTATAAATATATATTATACTACAATATACTGCAATTACCTTTAAGTTTGGTTAGATCAATAGTCTGTTCGAAATACCACGACCATTTGTCTATCTGTTGTTTTTATTTAAATTATATGCAGCGATTTTATCGCTCACATACACGCAGAATCCACGCAATACGAAAAATAAACCTCGGGTGTCGGAAATCATCTTCGTAAGAAGTTTCCGAATGCGCCTACTTTTGCTAGATGTCCGAGTGTGCCTTCCCACTCACAGTGACACTGTATGCAATATGGAGTTTGTACCAACGTGGCGACCGATATTACAGCACTCTATTATTGCCACATTTTGATTAAGTTTCGCTGGTCATTTTCTTAGAGCACAACTATCAGTCTCTAACGGAGATGGAAGCAAGAATAAAATCAGCTTTGAGCATAGTTGTTGATGTTTGGGATGGCAAAAATGAAACATATTTTATTGATGCATTCAAGGACAAATTGGAGACATTACGCGAGAATTCGTCAAGAAATCTTCGCGAGGATTCGCCAAGAAATCTTCGCGAGAGTTTTATTATCTTTCAAGACGGAGTTGAAAAACTAAAACATTTGGAAGGGTGTGCTCTAAAGCAACCATCGTCGTCAACACTGCAAAAAACAACATCGTTATCTCAATCTAAACCGTTGTTTGAACTAGCTGGAGAGAGAGCGAAAAAAGCATTGGAGGATACGTCTTTAAGCATCGAAGATAAAATAACAGCAAGCCAGATTCGCATAGCAAGCGCTATTCTTCGACACTTGGATAACTGTGAGTTAGCGACAAGAGATTTGTTGCGATGCCTGAATGAATTAAACTCATCGGTTGTCGCGGATGTAAAGGCCGAATCTCAAAATAACTTAGGAGACGAAATCCTTGACAGTGTATTACATATCAACGTCAATTTGGCCGATTTCATATTTAAGCACACTAACAAGAGAATGTATGTTATGGAATGGCCCTTGATTCAATATGGTAAGCAGTTGATTCATCCTTTCTTTTTCAAGAACATCAATGAAATTACTGCCACGTCACTACCTTGGTACACAACTGACCTTCGTAAGAATATTGATTTCTTTAACAAGAAAATGATCGTAAACGGAGAAGGTGAATTACTTGTTTTTGATGGAAATGAATTGCAAAAGCTTGACAGCAAGAGCGAAAAGTTTCAAACATGGTGTAAAGAACGTCTGAATGTTGAAAATAGACAAGTAAAATGCATGAACATTGATAAAAATGGCGTGGTATATCTACTTTTGTATCGTAAAGACCATCCAAATGGTAATTATGTGTTGAAACTTTGTTTGGAAGACAGAATTGTTCAAAGTTGTTCTTTGCATTTTCTTAATGACAAAAAATTTAGTAAGATTTTTCTAGCTGCCACGCCCAGTGACAAAGTTATCCTTGCTACAGTTAAAAGTTCAAAACGCAAACGAAGTGAAATCAATATATATGTGTGTGACAGTAAAGGTGAACTTATCAAGTCTTTTGTAGCAAAGGTTAAAGGTAAACCAGTTCATGATGAAGTGAAAAGTTTGTCCATTTCGTCCCATGAAAATATAGCAATTTTGACAAATGCATCTGGCCGATTTTACCAACTCATCATTTTTAAGTTGGATAAAACTTTTGTTAAAAAGATGAAATTTCATCCACAGGTTAAAGGAATCAACGCATACACTCAAGTCATTTACACTCCTTTTGACAACACTATCAAAGGTTTTTATTTTAAAGAGGACAAATCACAGCTTGTTATTGAAACTTTTTCAATTAAAACCAAAAAAATTAAAATAAAATGGTCTGTAATGCTGATGAATACAGGATATTGTTCAGAGTTATTTGATGGTTTGTTTCGTCTTGTTCATCATGCAAATGGAAAGGTGGCTTTGCTTTCAAGTGAAAGTATAATATACATAAGCGAAGGGAGCAGTGAGCATGATGCCATGGAAGTAAACATGGAATGGAAAGGTATTTATAAATTAAAGACAGATTTAGTCTCAAGTGTGAAGAAAGGTTTGAGTGATGGATATTTAAGGGAAGAAACCAAAACATTTATTGTTATCTCCAAAAGATCACTCATTTGAAATAACTGACTGCTATACAACTGTCTACAACTAATGAATTTTGAACAGATATTCATCTTTATCAAATCTAAATTTCAGCTCAAACCAGGGGCAGATTCAGCTATAGGCAAAATAAATTACTTCAACTTATTTATTGGGTAATATTTATTCTTTGGAAATTCATAACCAATTACTTTTATATAAAGGTATTTTAAATTTAAAATTAGTGGTTATAATTTATTTGCCTCACCCTGGATCCGCTACTAGCTCAAATATTATTGTATTCGTCTACATGACATTTTTATATCATTTCTTTTTGGATTATGTCCCCCTAGTTTATAGACATGAAGTAAAACTGATGTTACTGGATGGTTATGCTTTACTTAAATGAATGTGTTTCCACTCTATTTCTTTGTGTTTGATTGGTAAAATATTTTAATGTTTTTTTTAGAAACCAAATCTTCGCATGCAGACATTTCTACCACAGCAGTTATGAATTCAGAGCCATCTGGTAAGTCATCACAATTGAATATATTGCAAAAATCAAGCATTTCAAAATATACTCTTTAGTTTTGTTCATAGTACTGGCCTAGAACTGACCTATGAGTGAGAGCAGTTTACATGGGAACCAACCTAGGCCAAAATATTCCTAAATATCTGGCCTAAATATTCTCTTGCAAAGCTATTTAGTTGCTTGTAACTATGTCCATTAAAAATTTAAAAAATTTATTTCATCCACATAGCCAGTTTGGCATAAATAACATGACATGACATTTTAAAAAATTAAAGTCATCAAGTTCAGCTTCAATACTTTTTTTCATTCCACAGAGAATTCAAGAACCAAATTTTAACATCTGCCAAAATTTCAAAATGCTTTTAATTACTTTAAATTTATAACAGTTCTTGATAGTATAACAGTCACTATTTAGCAATATCAAGTCAACTGTTTACATTTATATCTAAAAGAACTAATATTGGCTTGTTGCCATTGTCGGCTCTATTATAAGCAGCTGTCATGGAAACTAGTAAATGCATTTACACTAATGCAGTAACGTACCCTACCCTGAATAATTAGGGAAATGTTCCTAAAACTGTGTGCAATACTGAGTTTGAAAAGTTAGTCCCAGGTCAGGGCCGCATTGAGGTGTTTTGGGCCCCTGGGCACAAACTTATTGAGTTCTGATTGTCCATATCATTGTTTTACAAGAGTGGATTTTTATCTTGGTCCATATTTTGCTGGCAATTGCAGTTGTATTTTTCTATGATTGATTACATTTATCTCAGCAGCATTTGTTTTTGTATTGCATCATTGTTTTTTAAATTCAATCTCATTTTAAAATAAATATTTTTGGGTTGAAAAAATCCCAGTGGTCCCATTGGTTAATGTGGCACCTGTACTAGGTCAGTCTTGATTTGTTCAATGTTTACACCAGCTACTTGGTCCCAGGTCAGCTATAAACCTGTAAGTAGTATAAACATGGTTTTGGAGAGCTTGGTGACCAACATGTCATGTTCTCCCACAAAAGTTGCTAAATCTGTTTTGTTTCTCTTCTGTTTGATGTTATTTTTCAATTCTGCAAGATGGTTGTGTTAAATCATTGCTCTATACTGCTTTAGATATGCCACTTTTTATTAACGACAAATCTTTAGTTATATTTTCTGTACTGTCATGAATGTTACCAAAGAAATGAAGTTTTAATTTTTTCCAGTACTCGTTTGCCTTGACTTGAATCAAATTTCTTTAATATTTTAATTAAATGTTTGAATGAATGATTTATTGCATGCGAAGCAAAGCTTTGTTTATCATTGAGTCACGAGAAATTTGATTTGATTTCACTTTCTTTAACCATAAGCAGTGACGTGATGTTAAGATTTAGAGTAAGTATTTATTGTGTTGACGGTTATTACCAACAATCATGAAAGTTTTGGGAAGAATAGTGACTTTATTGTTTCTCTTTACAACATAGATTGCTATAGATTTGGACATAGATTGCTATAGATTTGGACATAGATTGCTATAGATTTGGACATAGATTGCTATAAATAGAAACTTGAACATTTTTTTCTCTTTTAAATTATGTATAATGAAGAGGTAACAGAGATAAGGCAAGAAGAACCTCGAAATAATGAACAGGAAAACGTGCAGGAAGAGCAACGTAAAGACCTACAGCAAGAGCTCTTAGAGGAGCAACAAGAAGATGTACCACCTGAAAGAACTTTTTCCGGTAAGTGTATCGATTTGACTTTTTTTCTTAAATCATCGAAGGTTTTTTTATAATCGATCACGAAAACAACAGTTATTCTTGTTTTTTTCTGGTTTTGTTGTTTTAGTCTACGCCCCAATTTACTAACATGCTTTTTCAAGCACGTTTGCATTGATTTTGTCTATCTCAACTCTGTAGAACTCTCCTCCTCAGTCATTTATTACACACTCGCGCGCGTGCGGGCGGTCATTTTGATGAGATTATTAAAACGTATTATTTAAGACCCAAATGCATCATTACATAAACACGTAATTACATGAGAGCGGGGGTAGCTCGCTTAACGCGCTGGGCCAGTCCATGTATACAGAGTGAACGTTGTAGATGAGGTAACTCGCTTCAAAGAATTGAATTTTAAGTTAACTCCCTCGATCCCTCTCCCCCACTGAGCTGAATGTTTCCAAATTATTTGTGCACACACTACGCGTTTTATTGAAGAAATGTAGCAAAGACGACGAATGAGAATGTCTGTATAAGCCGAACGAACCTGCCCAGAATCTCCTCATAGAAGCCTGAACCCTCTGGAACCTTGGTACGTAGAAATCCCTAGAAACCATCCAAAAGCTATCCTGCGAACAGGCTCTGCTATTTAGGGAATGATGTCCGTCAATTATTTAGAGTTTTGTAGATATATCAACAGAATTGATGTTCGTAGGCATATCGCAGCGACATTGCTACCTGGGAGCTAGTTTTCCTTATGTAATCAGGTTAATTTTACGATTGTCAACAAACCTTTCTGCGCAAGGGGTATTAATGGTCACCACTATGTTTAGTGAATTTTAAAATCGTGAAGCATGTTGAAATGTTATATTTATAATAAAAGGGATATCAGCGACATTGAAAGTAATCACATATATTAGTAGCTTTATAAATGGTTAACTATTACCTTGTTGTACATCTAGGACATCACGATGCTACAGTAGTGATAAATGTTCCCAAAGATAGTGATCTCTGGGAAATGATATATTCTCAATGGCTAGAGCTTGCTAGAATGCTGGGTATATCTGAGGAAAATTCGCACAAGATATGCTCTGTAAATAATAAATGGCCATTGGAAATGCTTTTGAAGTGCAAGAAAACAGAAGGAAAAAATGCCATCGCAAATATGTTAGTTGAAGATTTAAATCCCTTCGGCCGTCGACAAGGTAGCATTGCTGTTGCTGTCTAATTGTATATACGTAAAGAAATTTGGAGAATGTTTTAATGACTTAAACATGTTCTGCTCACCACCAACATTAGCATTTTGATGTAGGTATAATCAATTTTTTAACAGTGAGCTAGGAAAAGCTGTCAAATTTCTTCGCTTGCAGTGAGTTTCACCAATAATGAAACGAAGATCGTTCTGAAAATAAACAAATTTATCAAATAAAAAATCGACAACTGCACAAAAGTACTAATACGTATCCAATGTTTGACTCATAAACATTCTCATTTTATAACAGGTTGTTTTATGTTTATGTATACGATGCTCTTCTCCAAATATGATAAAACATTTTGGAACCTTGCTTTGGCGGCTTACCCATGAAAAGTTTGTTTGTCAATCAGCTGACTTTATATTCATCTCAATGTCAACGATAGGAAATTCTCCATTCATTAAAACCATACACATACAGGCCAATATTTGCACAATAAAATCTGAAAATCATCGCCACTACACAGAACTGTTTGGATTCGCTTTCTTATACAGTCATCACATTGATAAATTATATAGCTAAACATTTTGCCATCAAAAATTAACTGCGACTAGAAATACGTCAAGGATACTTGCTTCTTGGAATATGTTTCACAAATTATTATAACTCACTTGGTTTATTATATATATACATTGGTTTATCAAAAACGCGCTAGCATGAATACATAATGTAAAGCAGAATCATTCTGTATAATACCACAATACCTATATTTTTGATTATTAATGGCTAATATTGTTGATCAATTCTTTGTACAGCTTTCACGCTCACTTAAAATGTATAAAAAACATATTCTACAAGTCGTACAACTAGAACACGCATACATTGACAGTCCTGTGTACAATACTTTTTCTTTTGATGATGACGTAGCTAATAAATTTAAGACTAATTATAAGGTACTCAGATATTTCGATCAATTGAAAAAGCTAAAACTTTTAAATATAGGTTCCTGAATAAATATGCTTCGTGCGGGCATCAATACAGACGTCAATTAATTTATAAGACCTAATTACACCTTCAGCGAATTTTTCTTTTTGGACCGAGAAATATTATTTACTGGATATTGTTGCACGATATTTAGATTTTAACTGTAATTGTTCAATAAATTCAAAGAAGTCGTCGTAAATTGGTTAAATTAAAGGACTCTTAAAACTTTAACATTTGTAAAAACGTTCACGTTTATTAATAAAAGAATTTATGAAAGCCTATTATTGCTATGAAGAACGCATTGTGGGTTTTATGTGACACAAACATGAAATTTTGGAAAAATCATTAGCCATTGATAAAGTCAAGAAATAACAACTCAGATAACGCACGAATATGTGCATTCCATGCTTAAAGCCCTCAGCCCTCAAATTTGGTCATGCTATGCATATGTGTTCACTCACTGCAAGAACAATAAATTTACAAAGAAACAAATAATACTAATAATGTACAATTTACTTACGTATAGCAGGATAAAAAATATGGGGTTTGCTATGCCATTGATTCAAAGGCAAACGCTAAAAGTCGAACTCGTGTGAAAGAAAAAGTCACGAACATTTTCTTTCAGTTAAAGTTACTGTGTTTTTTGGTTTGCAACTTTCTCAACATTTTGCTTCCAAAACATTTTCTACCTTAAGACAGTTTTAGACAATATCCCATATTTTTCTAGAACCTAAATATGTGACAAACAACAATGAAGTTTTTAAAGAAAAGTTCCTTAACGACGATTACAACATTCGAGATGAAATTGTCAATACCCTCCAACGGTAAGGTTTTTATATTTTTGTTATCTTCCATAACTAAAAAAAATGATGCAGTTTCATTCATAGCAACTTTTTGCGAGGTGGAGATTTAGTTCATGATATTGTTTAAGCATTTGATCTTAACAAACAATTAGCTTACAATTATTGCATGTGGTTGAGCATGATAACAAGAATTATTCAAACAGAGGTCAATATTACCTACCGAACCAAAGCTCTGGCTGATAACATTGACCAAGGTCTGAATATTTCTTGATATCATGCAAAAACCGAATTCAGTAGTTGTTTTATTATGCAATAATAAATACAGAAGCATTCATAAAGTTTTCCGTGCTTTGACAATAATTTTTTCGGTTCCTTTTCGTCTTTTTCCCGTAAGCACTCGATGACAACTTTCCTGACTGAGAGTGTAACACTCCCCGTGTATTTTTACGTATTTATTTTCAATAGTTCAAGCGAAAACAGTTTGTAAACTCCTGAAAATCTTTAGCGAGATTCTGCCATTTTTGTTACAATTTTCTCATGAACCATTACGTCATCTACAAGTAGTATTCAATATTTTTCACGTGACAAAACATTGAGGATTTTCTATTGCCTTTTATGCAATCACAATTAAGTTTGCACGGTCAGTAGTCACTTGATGTGTAAGTCAAAAAACAAAACTCATTATTTCTCGAGGGCTCCCGCATTAAGTTTTTGGTTACGTAGGAACAAAGATAATAAATTTCAAATTTTCGACAGCTTTTCAATATAATCAACGTCTTTCGTGGGAGATAAAAATAAGCTGGCAACAATAGCAAAATGCTGTAAAGGTGACCACAGCGTTTTTCTTCGAGTGTTTTCTAAATCCTTTCTCTCTATTAATAGTCGAGTTTTGTCGTTTAATAGCTTGAGAAATGTTTTTTAGTTTTCAGCTCTATAGCTGTTTTATTTGTTATGATATTAAATTGAGCGAGAAAAAAATTTTTTCCCTTGTCTCCGTGTGTGTGTAGTGGTGGGGGACATTGCATTTGTTTTAAGTCACGAGACTAAAAATTATTCAATCACATTTAACATACACAGCACCAATACAACCGTGTTTAAGAATTGTTTTTGAAAGATGAAGAATTATTAGGCTAGTTAATGTTTATCGTTAGTTTCTATAAAGAGTGTTTTACCCTTTTGAAAGGTCTATGTTAAGTTTAGATTTGTCAATAAAGAATACAGATCACACTCTTCATTGCAAGTCATGAATGGTTTTTAAGTATCCTCTCCGTGCTGGTGTTAACTACCGTTATGTTGGCAAAAGCACTTGCTATTTCTTGAAAAAAACATCTAAAAAAACTCACACATTTACGTCAATACAAGAGCAACAACGACAAATCATGTTAGGACTCCAAAAATCTTTTTTCTCTTCAAAATTTTAAGGAAGATATTTTTGTATCACGGACAAATAGTCAGCTTCACTTTCTTATATTTATTTATTTTTCCCTGTTTAGTTTTGTGTGGATAAACGGACCTGTTGGAATGGCTGATCCAAACCAAGAGATACCTTATGAACATTTATTTATCACAGTTGATAAACGGGAAAAAATGTCGTAAGACCAAATAAAGGAAGAGATTGTTTCTGAATTTAAATGGGAAGCGTCAAGATTCATCGAATTACGAAGTTCAGCATCGAAACCATTAAAGTTAAAACGTTGTGGTCATGTTCGTTTATCAAATACGTCTCGAGATATTAGTGATAACATTTGTTGTAGCTATGAGCTGACAATGTTCTGTCGTAAAGATGAAAACTATTTCGCCTCGACCTTTGCACATGACATCTGTAAAGGACAATGGATTCCCATAGAATGTAAAATGGCATATCATAAAGATCTTCCTGTGTTTATACGTACAGGTCAATGCAACTAACTTCATTTAATTACACTTTAGGTTTTGTGTTGCTATTGACCGAGGACAAACGTCTCAGCTAGGGTGAAGAAGCTAGAATTGCCGGACAAAAATGGTTGGAAAAAACATAAAGTCAGAATATTCATATTTGCAGGTTAATATGATGTCTTGTGATTATAGTATGAATTTTTCATTTAGGTTACATTTGTTTTGGATTTCCTGTTATTTCCATTTTGATTGAAAATAATCATTGCTATGTCCTAATGGTGTAGGAATTTTTTATTTTCAGAATTTTTTATAAACTTGCTGCCAGCTGTTTCACATTTTCTCCACTGAAGCCTCAAAAGTGCTATAAACGATTTAATGCTCTGTTTCCTAAATTTAAACCTTTCTTTTACTTAGATAACTTTAAAAATGCCCAAAAGTTCGCTAGAAGAGCCATTGCCACTTCAAACATTGAATCAGATGATGAGTCAATCAACGACAAGCCACAAAAACGTCCTCGTCTCAAAAGGAGTATGGAAGAATTTCCAGATTACAGTGACATAGAAAGTAGGTTATATAGTATTCTAGATATTTCTCTCCGATCACAACAACTTACGTACACAGTAACACAGAAAAGTGTTTTATTTCTACTGTTATAACTACCTACGTGCGTATATGGCTGTAGTCAATGAAGGGTCTTGTGTGCGAAACACAATAAATTCTTTGAAATTGGCTATGTCTTCTTCCTTAAGATGGGAAAAGATAAGATTAAGACTGAATTTTTTTGCCTTAGCTACTTAAATATTACATCTTTGGCAAGCATTAAATTAGCCATATTTTAGTATTTTTAGTATAGCTTGAGTACTCAATAAACATTCTTATTGCAATGATCGGGTATTTTTTCTCATCAGACGATGATGACGGTGATAAACCCGTAATTCAACACAGAGCACCTCAGTTACCTCCTGCTCCACGTTACGCATCTTTTAGTATGAACAATAAACATTTATTGGAATCTTCTGAAAGTAATATGATAACAGCCGTCATGGAAATCTTATCTACAAATTCTAGAAGTAAGTAATGTAGTGGCAATGCAATAGGCCATTGCTTTATTCAAAGGAGTGCAGTTTTTCTTATATTGCTATGTTGCATTTAAATCTAATGAGTGATTTTGCTTTTTAGATTTGCCGATGTACAGCGAGTTGATCTCCTTTGCAGAAAAAGGTATAAGCGCAATTATAATCCTTATATAAGTGGACAATTTTTTGACAGAAACATGCATGTATAAACTTTCTCTTTTCATCCTAATATGATGTTGATCTATATTTATATGACGGTGAACTAGCACCAGAAATCCTAAACACAAAGGATCATGCAATAATTTCCACATTTACTAGTAGGACACCATCTCAGCGTAGTGGTAAGTTTTCTATCATCAGAACTGACTAATCAGCAACTTTCATATAATATGTCGACTAAAATGTTGAAATAATTTTGATTGATTCTTTTTAACTAACTTTTACATTCGTATTGTACATTTACTGTTTTTCTACGCTCATGGTTGCATTATAGGGCTTATGTATGTTCTACAGGTGCTGTTGGCGTTGGTCCTTTAAAATGTTATTGTAATTAGTTGAAAAAATGTTAGTTATAGTTAAAATTGCAGTTGTGTTCACCACGATTTAATCAAAATACATTCGTTCAAATCTAATTCTCAGCGTTTGCTATCAAACTACTAAATGAAACTTTCTCGAGGTTTTTTATTTTTGTCACCTTTCTGCTTCTGAGTTTTGAAACTTGTAGTGGTTTAATTTAAATGACGTTCGTGCGTGCAATAAAGATATATGTTAAACACAGTACATGTCTTCTCTGTAGATAAAGGGCAACGTCTCTTCAGAAGGAATTCTTACAACTGGCACAACAATTGAAAGACATTCTCAACGAAACAGTGATGTCTTAGGCAAGCTTTTCTTACAATTCATTATTGCATGTCTCGTTACGTTTTCATTTACGTTCATTTCGTGTCGTTTGAAATGTTTTTATTTTCTTCACAACTAACTGCAACACGTGATTGCTTTGCAGATGCGCATGACCTTTCATCTCACGAAAAGCCTTCGACAAGTTTTATGAACATAATACCTGCAGGAAGACGTTCTCAACCAAACATTAATGGTACCTTTTCTACAGTATATAGTTTTTGAATAGCGTTGTTATTGTGTGTGTATGCGTATTCGATTAGCAATTTGATGCGAGTTTTTATTTGAATTTTCTTGTTAGCATGTTGTAAGGTTTATATTTTTAAGATATTACGTAGGTTGTACATAAGTTATTTTGTTATTTTCTTATCTATCTTGTAGGCTTCCAAAGATCAGTTCTCACCAAACTGGAAACATTAATTGATAAGCAAGAAGAAGCGTTGTCAATATTGCGTGCTCTGTTAAGCGCTACGAAAGGTGTAGACGAGCACGAAATTTTGGAAGATGTTCTAAAATGAAAGATGATTTGACTCGGAAGATGACTACCGCTAAGGTTGTCGAAACGTCAGTCAACAACAACAAAAACAGTCCTTCTCAGGACTTTATTAACCTTGACGATCATCATTTACAAACATATAAAGATGTTGTACTTAATCCCTTAGATTCGGTTGAAGAACTTGAGGACCTATCCTCTAGACTTGATGAAGAAAAGTCCAGAGAAAGTTGGTAAGTTTTGGAAAGTTAACCCATACGTATTTAGTAATATTTATTGGCACCGCTATTTTTTTTGCATGACTCTTTCAAGTGTTACGTAAAAAAATGTGACAAAGGAAGGCATAGCCCTTCCCCTTTATCGGTTTGGAAACGTGAAAACGATAATTTCATTTGCAATTACGTAACATAATATTGACTTTTTTTCTACCATTTGTGTTTGAAGCTTGAAAACATGCACGTTTGTCAAAGTCTAAAATGTAATTTTAATGACGATTTTCGTGACGTTAGGGGGTTTGATTATCTGATTAAACTATATCAATGTAGCATCGTGTTTTTCGTGAGAGCTTTGTCGTATTCTGATTGATTTAAATACGTTACGATACTTCAAACGGCTCTTAGGAGTGTGTCGTTTTATTTGTGCTGAAAATTTTTAACGAAGAAACAGGTCTTTCTAAAAGTTCTCATCATTCACTTTGGATGATTTTGTTTTGCAATTCGAGATCAAAATGCTTATTTATATGTGTAAATTCAACTTTTCCATATAAGTTATCTTTTACTCTCTTTACTAGCTGCTTTTTTTGGTAGCACTGTGCGCAAACACCTGTGCAAACAGTGTTAGAAGAATTACGACAAAGCTGAGAACAAATATTCTATGGTCCCAATATAGTTTAAAAGGCAGAAAGGCAAAGCGACCATTTCAGCACCTTGCCCTATGCAAAGTTATAACAAGTAAGCACAATTAGACGATAATGATTGCTGCAGCAGTACCATGTTTTGTCTCTTTTTTTCTCGTTCATGAATTGGAAAAACAGCCATTTATGTTGCTCCTTGTCATAAGGAATATTGTTGCAAGTTTTAAAAGCTAATACATGAAACTGTTTTGCAAATGTCGCTATAATAAATTGTTGTTTATCATTCATCTTACGAAAATGATTTAGTGTTTTATCAATGCAATTTATTTAAAGTATGTCTTTTCTGTTTCGTTTCACTTGTTAGAAGCCTGCCTCAGAGCTCATAAAGGATGCAGCGAGGCCAACGTTGAAGAGCAAATCGCCGAATTTTTAAAATATGCTCCAGGCAAGCAAGGTGGTTCCAGATTTAAGGTAACATGTCATTATCATCATAGATTGCTGGGTAAAGTATATAGATGCCATTTTTTCTTTGTTTGATTTTCTCAACTTAGACAGGGAGAACTCAACTTATTTTACTCCGTAATCTCATAGTTAACATATTTGTATTTTCTTGTCTGTGTAAGTTGAGAAAAATACACAATAACATTATTGGCATGTGCACTTAAAGAAAGTGAGCATGTGTCTTTCATTGTCCTTCATTTATAAGTAAAGCAAAATGGAATGGACACTTATACATAATGCGTACCTTTAAAAACGTTCATTTTAGTGCAGGCATTAGATTTGTGCAAGTTTTAAATTTTGTTAACTCAAACTGCATGATTAGATATATTATATACAATTTCCTTAGCGTGATATTAAACAATTATTGAATGAAATAGTATATGAATTAAGACTTATGAAGGCCAAGGTTTGTTCAATCTACCAACGCTGAGGCAGATAGAGCACATTGATGCCTTGATAATTCTTTATATTACGCGAAAATCCAATTCAATAAGTGTTTTATTATTTATATAAAAAAGCAAGTGTTGGTTAAATGTGAAAAAGGTGCCGTAACGATTAAAGTTTTCTTCACTTGTTTTGTTTCTCGTGCGTATGAGATGACGTTGTAGCGCGAGATAATTTCTTATATCCGACGTACGTACGTAGTGGCATTCATATAAGTGGATTTATTCAATTGCTTTTAAGTGAATAAAACTAAAAAAATACTTTGACCCATATGTTTATATAAATTAAATTAAGAAGATATACATACAGCAGACGATTCAGTTTTCCATTTAAATAGCATCTCTTACAGACAAATATGTCAATGTTGTTGTAGGTGGTAAGACATATAAAAATGATATATAGACTACCATTTTCTAATAATCATATATGTTATTTTCTTGCAGGTCAGAAAAGGCAACTTATTGGAATCGGCTTAATTAGCATTTTTGTAAATATGCATATTAAAACACGCACAGCAAAATAGATGAATTAAAAGTTGATTATGTGGAAATTAAGCTTTAGTTCGTATCACTAGAAAGGCTGTTTTATGATTTCACAAATAATGCATCAGTAATTGTATGTTAAATGAACGTCGGATAAACGTCAGGTAAACGTTGTATGAACGTCTGATAAACGTCAGGTTTAGGTTGAAAATACGTTACATCCCAACGTTCATCCCAACGTCGCCACTACGTTCCTACGAGTTCACAAAAAACGTTCACTCAACGTTGGTCCCCGACGTGTTTCATCCACATGTTTCATAGAATACCTGAAGAACATTCCAAGAAAAGGGTAGCTGATCATTTTGGGTGCAAACTGGTTAAGAACTGAGTGAAATCCCTCCAATGCACTTGTATGAGACATTGGAGAAGCTCTCATGATTCTAGCAATCAACCTTGGTTTAGTTAAAGCTGCATATATCTTATTGTATGATATAGAATCTAAAGACAAGGCAATGAATAAGAGATTATTACACACAGAATATTTCTTTTTAATAGCAACAAGAATTGTTTTAGATTTTTTACCTTCATTTAGCCATTTGCATGGTTTTATGTTGGAATCATGAGCACATTTGTCAAATAAAGGGTCTGAAAATCCACTGTGTTGGTTTTTGACATGACCAAGGAAAGATTTAAACTTAGCCACAATCATATTTCCTTTACCAGAGGGTGTTGATGTAGCACTCCAGTACAAATGGTTGGAACAAGGTCTTATTGAACTTGATAAAGACTCACATCCAGCACATTTTGCAAGTTTGGTCAGGACTTTGGTCACTTCTAAAATGAAATATAAAATATGTTTTTGATACACACTTTAATTATTGATGCCAGTATAGGTTGTAAATTGTATACTAGCTATATGTTAAATTCTTGCTTCATAAAGTACTGCTTCATTAACTAAAAAAAATCATTACTTTTTATCAAATACCAAAGGTCAAAGTAGTGGGTAATACTTGGACAATTCTCTCTCATATGTTTCGCAATGTGCGTATGCCTGTCAGTGATTAATATAGAGATCAGAATATTGCAAGATTTAAGAAAATCCATTGATCTTTTAAATTCCTCAAACTCTAGACCAGTGCTATTTCAAACTTCATTTCTCAACAAAATAGCAAATAGGAAAATAATTTTAATGAAGAAAATCACATAATTCAAAGAAATGTACCTGCACAAAAGAAAAACTAATGATTTGGGGTACTGTGCAACAGAATGCTGTATATGCAAAATATTTAAAACAATGTCCCATGGAATCATGTCTTCCATCCCCAGCAATTGCAATTGGCTGTTTACATGCCATCACTTTCTCTATCAAACTGTCTTGGTATTTTTTCCAGTAGATTACCAATGCAGAATACAGTTTTTCCTACACAAAATTTTTAAAAGACTTTCAAGCTTTTCATTTGATTTTAGTAATTACTTTACAACTTTCTTTTACACCATCGGATAAGTCTTACTTACACGAAGTATATACTCAATGAAATGCAGGCCAATCCCATGTGCTGTAGAACACTGATCACCTTTGTGGCAGAGTTCCAGCAGTCAAAATACCAAATGACAATAGCTAATTTCTAGCAGGAATGGAAGTCTCAATCATGACTGGTTAACTATTTCATGTTGTGTCTGCTCCACATTTTTGATTGGAACAAGTAACTTTCACTTTTGACATTGAACCATTTTGCAATATCTCAACAAGAACATCATCTGATTTGCAAATTGGGCAGAATTTAAAAAGTGCAAACAGTTGGGTGAAGAACATAATGAATTTTTTCTCTGTTCTTAGGTTGGTGTCTTTGTTGAGCACTCTACAAAAGAAAAAAACACAATTTATGAAATGCAAGGTAGTGACTGATTAAATAAGCTGTTTAACTTTGATTTATTTAACAATCACCACTATTTTAACATTGCCATGGTGATTGATAAATTACAGTTCTCATCCAAAAGTTGTTCCCTTTTAAATAATCTTGGCTGCTCTGATTCAGAGTCGACATCCATGTCACTAGATGTGATTATCTCTTCTGTCTCAGTCTCATAACTTTGTTCAGCACCAAGATCACTTTCTGAGTCTGAGTCACCACTAAGATCATTTGGGTCCAAAACCTCCTCAGCAGGACAACTATCAAGATCAACCACTTTGCTACTAGTTGATGATTCTTCATTGCTGCTGTTGTTGTCATACTCATCTATGAAATAAGACACTTCAGTAATGTGCAGCTACACAAGGTTGATTAAGTCCATATTTCTTAGTAATTAACTTCAATAATTTTCCAGTGGTGCATGCAAGCTTACTTGGTAGTATTGTAGAAATTGAGGTTATTAAACATGGCTGATCCTATTACGTTGGCAAATCTTCTCTTGACCTACAATCATATATGAAATAAAATTAACAGGCCCATCTTCTTAAAAAACACTTACCTACTGCAGGCATATCCATATTAGAACTGCTTGCATAAGTTCTGCTACACTGAAGCTTATGCTTTGCAACAAGTCATAAGTTTCTGTAACGACGTTTCTCTTTTTCAAGTTTTAAAAAATTTTGGCATTGTAGTTCACATTGAACAGCTACTTCCATAGACATATACAAAACAATAATTTACGTTAACCCTTACAGCATTGCCGTAATAATCATATAAGTTTACCTTTTCTAATACAGGCTCATCACAAGTTGTTTCTTTTATTTGCTCTTGAGGTTCGCTACTTGTACTGGGAATATTTTCTGATTCAACCTCTCTTGTATAATCAGACATCCACTTTCTTTTCATCTAAAATGGCATATATTTATGAAATATACTCTCAAACAGATTCCAGGTAAAATGTAGATATGCATATGTATAATTTTTAACGTACTCACCATTCTGCGATCTCTTGTTGTAAGTTCATTGTCATCTCTTCGAGGATAAATGCTCGGGTAAGCAACGATTCCGAATTCATCTCGAATGAGTCGAGGTACAAAATTACTTTCTGATTCAGAAAGCGAGCCGAATTGACGAGAAAACGAATCGTGTGTGAAGTGTTCCGAGCAAACTGTGGAATTCGTTGTGGGGACTGACTGATCGCGAGTAGCTTTCACAAAGTTGACCCATCGCTTTCTCCTACGGTTAGCTTTCGCTTCTTTCGTCGTTAAAAAATGGTATGCGATGAAGTGAAATGCGTTTCTCCGAACTGGCTACGTTAGAACAACCAAAAACTACACATCGATCTAGCATTTTTGTGTTTGTTTACTTGCATAAACAGTCTAAGTTGTTTTGGTAGTCAGTCTGTGTTCCTTAAATGACGTCACAAGTAAGTCCCATGACACGGATTAGAGCTCTCGACATTTTTTACAAAACGTTGAAATTTAGGTTTTATTCGCATCTTTGCGGAAAGATAACTCAAAAACGAAAAAAGTTATTCAAATTCTGTAAACGGCATTTGTATTTTTTATCCAAAATCTATTTGAGAATAAAAAACTGAAAATAGCTGTATGTGTACTTTACTAAATGTGCTGATAGTATGAAGATCAGATGTTTAAATAAATAATTAAGTTACTAGAATGTGAGTTACTCTAATTATTTACCAATCTTAATACCAAACTCTTAATTTATTGCTCAAAGTTTTAGAGTCACCAATGCAAGAGAATCGATTGCAAGTTTCTGAGATCCCAGTTCCTGCTAGGGTACCTGATGCATTTGAGGAACAGCCACTGTCTTAATCTTCTTCCTTACCTGAACCAAGTCATGGGGATAGTAAATCAATAAAATTAAGATGATAACGCATTAAAAACCAAGCAAAAACGTCTTATTCATTTGAGCGCTTCCGGTTCCATTAAAATCAAAAAGATTCAGGTTTGTTTCATTTTAAGAATGCTTTTATAGCATTTTACAAAGTATGTCAAGTTAGTCAAAATGTCAAAAGTTAGTCATAATTCAGGTAATATTCTTCCTTAAAAGTGACTGTATGTGTTAAATGAAAATATGAAAACAGACAAAAAAAACTATTCAAAAGCTTCCTAAAAATTTCAAAATAAATAGAATGGAACATGACGCACATTTTCTGAATATAATTCCTTTTTTCTATTGATTCCTTATTTAAGTGGCTATTCCATTACCACTTAAATTCGTTAAGAGATCTTTGAATTCTTGGGATGTAAACGTAATGTAGTGCGAATAGGTGATGTTCATGAAGACAATCAAGCAAACCATCTTCTTCCATGTTAGTAAATAGCCAGACATAATGAGAAAGTACGCCACAATAAACGTCTCTATGGAGACGTTCAACTCTAATGTTATGCACCGATTTACCCGTTATAATTCCCCTTCCACAACCCCTGTTGGTTAGCATAAAGCGTGCAACGCCTACATTTTCTAAGCCATGGTCTGATCTGACTCTTGATAGCAAACCAAACTCTTAGACTCCCTGTGTAAAAAACTCTAGCACAGATGATGCACGATTATTATTGGCACATTACAGCTGTATAATAAGTCGGCTGTAACCATCAATACATGCGTGAATAACTATCCGCCATCGTATTAGCTTTTAGTTGCCATCAATGTGCATTAGGATGCCATATAGCATTAGGATGCGGAACATAATACTTACGTCGGTAGACTGCTGAGTTCCATCTAAGTGTTGTTCCAACTGGATCAATTTTCCTTAAACACTCTCTCACCCTTTGCCTCTGAACATGAATCCCTCTAGCCCTTAGCGCAACTACCATCCTACTCTGACCAATATTTGGGGTAACTTTCCTTATGTCTTCCATACTTGTGTAAGCTCATCCTCAGAGATATTAGAAAACTCGTCATTGATGTCTAATTCGTTTTTTCTCCTACGTAATGTTCGCGTAGACACATGAAATAATTTGGCAATGTTAACCCACGAAAAGTGCTTGCTTCGCAAAAATTCCAGTTGATTTTTTGTGGTATGGTATTTTGGTCGACCCGGCCCGTGTGTTGGATTAATTGAACACCTGTAACAATTTTCATCATTGATTGATTGGAGCCTTTCCATTTTAAGACAAAGTGCTCTTTGAATTGACAATAGACCTTTTAAGAGGTTTGCAAGCAAACCGAATGTTTCTTGATCAGTGTTTGCGTTGTTTAGTAGAGTTATGAAAACCGATTTCGCAGACTGTAAAAATGACGCCCACTCAACGTCGTGATGCCCCCACCCTGTCTGCGACAAAGAGGCATACTTAATGTTTAATTTTCCCTATGAAATAGTCCATTTGTCAGTTGAATAGATTACTAACGTCGAGCTCAACCCAGTTCCTAGCCTCTCTACTTCGATTTTGTGTCGAGCCGCTGTTTCTACTGGAGTTGTTCGTCGAACCAAGCGGACTATTAGGAGTAATATTTGAACTTTCCAACTGACTAATTCTTTGTAACGCATTATTCAAGTAAAACTGAAGTTCATTTTGATTTAGCATCTTCGACAATCGAGATTCGAGAATCTATTGCAATTTGCAAATGGCGGCCACGCACGCTTACCGCCCCACGTGATAAAAACAAGGCCGCAAAGCATCATAATTAGAACATATTTTTTTCGGAGAGCATATATATATTTTTTAAGTTTAGCATATATTTTTTAGGTTTAGCATAGGTTTTTCAAGTTTAGCATAAATTTTTCAAGTTTGGCAAATATTTTTTAATTTTTGCATATATTTTTTAAGTTTATCAGATATATTTTGAGTTGAGAACCGATTTATTCGATTCAGAAAATGCAAATTTGAAGTTCAGCACATATATTTTCTGAAAGACAAATATGTCCGGCTTGGCGCCTCATAAATCAGCTTCTAAGTGGCTTCAGACAAGTCTAGGGATGAATATATTGAGTTAGCCTTCCAGTTGTATTAGAGTTCATTGGGGCAGGCCAGACCGGGGTAAGACTGGGACGAATGTGCAGTGAGTATTTTGAAATGTGTAGTGAGTATTTTGAAATGTGTAGCAAGTATTTTGAAATGTGTAGTGAGTATTTTGAAATGTGTAGTGAGTATTTTGAAATGTGTAGTGAGTATTTTGAAATATGTAGTGAGTATTTTGAAATGTGTAGTATGATTTTGAGTGATGTTTTATTATTGTTTGTTATGCTTTCTAAATTGTTTTTCTGGTGACCCGTACCGGCCACCGTAGTTAACACTCACGTTTAATACATTTCATTCTTTGTTGCAAAAATGACATTCCGCCTATTTCGCCATGAGAGGTAAGAATTTCATATGTGAATATTGATGATTTTGAATAACATTTGGATGGAAAACAGTCATAAATTAAATGAATTTTCTTTTGTGGGTCAGGGAGTATCATCCCCAACTTTCATATATTTCGTCTCTCTAAATAAATCATTAACCTCTCTAAGAAATATTTTAACCCCAAATTTTTTGCAAAACAAATCTCTAGAACAGTTGAGCTGAGTTTTGTTGTCTGGAGCTCAAATTTGGCTTAAAAAATAATTAGGTTTGTATTGCAGGTAGGATCGCCTCTCAGTCCCAGCTATTATAGTTCAGTGTGCTCAACAGAACGTGAATTTTAAACATAAATTCTCTTTAGTTTCACTCAGAGTCATTGAGGTCTATAATAACTGGAGCGGCTATCTCAAGCGCGGCCTTAGATATCTGGTGACGCCAAAAAAATGGCGGATTTCGTCCGTTGCCGCTGAGATTTACCGAAATTGACCGCTTTTCCGAAAATTTCACAATTTCCCACTCCCTCCTGAGGAAAGAGTGAAGAAAATGTATGTGTGTATTTGGGATTCGGCAAGCAATTTTTTGATGAAAATCACGATAAAAACCTACAATTCGTAACAGCGAGTCAACATAGCTTTCCAGTTATCGGCTCCTACGAGGATGTATTTATAACTATCGATGAAAGAGCTATATGTCGGCTACACATCTATGAATGCAGATATGCGTCGTTTTCTTACCAGCGTCAAACTTGTTTGATCGATTAAACTCTTTAGTCTATACAAAAAAGTATATCATAGTTCATCTCCACAGTGGTTCACGAGAGAGAAGTTAGCTTATTTTTTATCATTGCTATTTTGCTTCTTTTTACTTGTTTCTTTAAAAAAGTAAATATTAAATCTCTGGATATTTACGTATTTTCTGTAATTGAGTTTCATATTAAATTTCAAAAGACTCAAGTCTGCATAGGTTTGGTAAATGAAAACAAACAATATTGTATAGAAATTACTTTAAGTAACCTTTTGTGATGTTCTGAAGTGCAACTGCATCAAATACTTGTAAAGTTGTAGCACATTTTGATTTTGTTGTATTGATATATAAATTGGGCAAAATGCAAATAATCATCAAAACACTTATGCTTCCAATGGTGTTTATAATTCATTTTAGTTTTAATACTTCTACCCTTATTTTTCACTTTGTTTTGTTTTTCCTATATTTTCAATATAAGTGCACAATTTGAATGATTAAAACAGTTTTCACTTCAATAATAAATTTCATAAGCAGTTGGTAGTGCATTTTGTTCTCTGAGTATCCACATTTGGTGTTTTCTTCATACATGAATGATGAAATGCATATGGATATGTCATAACAAGGCAATAAAACCAAATGAATTAAATACCTATAGTGTACTTTTATGCTAGAAGCTTAACAGCTTTCTAGAAATTATAAAGTTATTGGATTATATTACCTCTATATCATCAATCTCATGAAAAGAAATAAGAAGCAAAATATTTGTAGAAAAGCTTTGAAAAGTGAAAACATTTATTTAAAAAGCAGCAATGATGCATATGATAAATCCCATTCTGTACTCTAATAGGTAAATAAGCTCAAACTGTTTCTTAAAGAAATATAAGAAATATATAAGAATATACAGTACAGTAAATTTAAAGGTTTCATCACTGAATCTTTAATGCTTCAGTATAGTGCATTAGATATTAGTAACATTTAAACAACACTCAACTAAAATATTTTGATAAAGATATGCCATGATTTAAACATTATGTTATATAAAACCCAATGGCTTATTCAGTTTAATGCTTCACATCTGCATCAAGTCATCATCAATCTCAGTACAAATGTTTACATAGACACAAACTTTATGGCCTTTCCATTTTATATGTTGTGAATTGACATTTAATTAAGCATCAAAAACACACAACCTTCTTGCCATCTTTTTTTGGTTCATGAACTTCAACTTCAAAGCATTCAAGGCATCATTAGTGAATCCATTGTCTCCATCCATAGAATTTGACCATGATCAAATTAAATAACTCTGGATAAGGCAGACAATAAATCAATTATCTTTACAGCATTA